TCTGTGTAAACAGCAGTCAACCTATAGCCAAAAAAAAAAAAAAAAAAATCAGGGTCAGTAGATGGCATATGTGGTTATGTTGCTGGACTCCCACATGGCTGCCTATAGTTCAAGTCCCAGACAAGATGGTCTGAAAATCAAGACAGGCACATGCACACACATGCCCAAGATCCCAGGAGGAAAACAGAGGAGACAGGATTGCACTATGGCTATTCCCCTGGGGGGTGATTTCTCACTTCCTCTCTCAGCCTGTCTCTCCAGTGAACACACACGCCCTGTGGTAAAAACCCCTAAAAAAAAAAAAAAAAAAAAAAAAAAAAATTAAGTCAGCATTAAAAATTCTTAGGAGAGGGGCCAACAGGTGGCATGGTGGCAAAGGTGCTGGACACTCCCACATGGCCAACCATAGTTTGAGTCTTGGACCTGGTGGCTTGTTTTTTCACTTTCTCTCTCTGTTCCTTTCTAGCCAAATTAAAATAAATAACATTAAATAAAATAATTCTTAAAAAAAAAAATCCAGGGCTGACAGTTGGCATGGTGGTTAAGGCACTGGACTCCCACATGGCTGACCACCGTTTGAGTTCTGGATCTGGCAGCTTGCTTTTTCTTATTTATTAAGTCATTTTTTTAATTTAATTTTATTTGTTATTATTTATTTTTTGGATGTGACCAAAGAGACAGAGTGAGAGAAGGGGAAAGTGAGAAAGCAAGCTGCTAGGTCCAGGACTCAAATTGTGGTCAGCCATGTGGGAATCCAGCACCTTAACCACCATGCCACCTGCCAGCCCCTGGCAGCTTGCTTTCTTATCTTCCTTCTCTCTCTCTCTCTCTGTCACTCTCTGGTCAAACAAAAATTAGTAATAATGAATTAAATTTTTTAAAATTCTTTTAAAAAAATGTTAAAATCCAGATGACCTCAAGATTATGCTAGGCATTAAAAATCACTATAATTACTTCCAAATATTTAACAGGCCCGACTGTCAGAAAATATAAATATGAACATAATAAAAACTGAAAAGGAAGAAATCTGTCACTGAAGCTTAGATAAGGAAAACTGTAGCTGATAAGGGTATCAGCAGAGTTCACCCCACAGCTTACAACCCATGGGAAAACCCAGCGTGTGCTGAACCACTTTTTATTCCTCCTGTCAAAGCCTCCTCTTCTAAGAGTCAAAACAAAAACTCCTTTTTTTGGACCAGAGGGGGACAGAGTAAGACAGAGACAGAGGGAGAGGAAAAGTGAGAAAGCAAGGAGCCAGGAGCCAGGTTCGGTACTCGAACCATGGCCTACCATGTGGGAGTCCAGCGCCCTTAACCACCACACCACTTGCCAGCCTCCAGTAGAAACTGTACAATTTACAATTATTTCTTTGTAGTGAAAATTTTTCCCAAAACTCACATGCAAGATACATGTAGCTGATGCAGAGACACATTGTGTTTAAATTTGAATCAAAATGTCTTTCAGCTGATGGGAACTGGCCTCCTAAAGTAACACTGGCTGGGAACTGCATACTTTCCCACTGTCTTGTTTCAGTATTCTATTGACTTTTATAGATATAAGTAATTTTTTCCAAACCAGTGGGCTCATCTCTGCACTGAGCCAATGAAAAGCTGTGGTCTGCAGATGTGGGATACAGGGCCATACTCAAGGCCTAGTCCATGACCTTCTGACAACAGCACTGTCCCCTTTTGTTTATTCTAATGAAGGTGACAGGAGCTCTAGCCACACATACCACCTTCATATACAGTCTACCCTCTTGTATGCTCAACCTCAGACTTGACTTTAACCGTCCACATTGCAATCTGTAAATCATCTATTAGGTCAAAATCTTAAAATACTCATCTCTGGCCCTAACAGAACTAGAAACAGCCATAAAGCCAGTTTGTTTTTAAGATTCATTCATTCATTCGTTCATTTTAATTTGACCAAGAGAGACACAGAGAGAGAGAGAGGAAAGTGAGAAAGCAAGCCACCAGATCCAGGACTTGAACCGTAGTCAGCCATGTAGGAGTATCCAGCACCTTAACCACCACACCACCCGCTGGTCTCCCATAAAGCCAGTTTTAAGACTTACCCTGATAAGATGGAAATCTTTCAAAAGCTTCCCACATCTCGTTCTACCACTAAAACTGAAAGGTAAACTAAAGACAGAAAAAATCCCTCTACCTTCTCTGCCTCACACTTGCATCCAGCCACCCAGCTTCATCAACAATTCCCAGACTCCAAAAAATGTTCAAGGGGCAGTGGTGGCACAGTAGTAACACAGCTGGACTCACACGGGAGAGGTCCTGGGTTCATGACCAAGGACCTCCCTGAGCACACTGTGCACAGGCATGCATGCCCATTATCTGTGCCAGCTGAAACTACAGGCAGATTGTACCATGAACATCCTGCTGAGGGGGTCTGCCTCGCTGTGTCTGCTCGTGCTCTCTCTCAAAGTAATAAACTTAATTTTTAAAAACGTGAAGTAAAGAAAATGGAAAAAAAATTTTTTTAAAGTCAAAACTTTGAGACATTGGGGCTAGCAGATAGCATAGTGGTGGAATTGCTAGACTCCCACATAGCTGACCATGGTTCAAGTCCCAGACCTGGCAGTTTGTTTTTTCACTCTCTCTCTCTTTCTCTGGTCAAATTGAAGAATAGTAAGAAATAAAATTAAGTAAATAGTTATAAAAAATTGGGGGGAGGTGTTTTGCTATAGGGCATGTGCGCTCGCCAGAAAGACAGAGACAGAAAGCGAGAAATCACCCCTCAGGAGGGATGGCCATGCCACAATCCCTTCTCCATTCTTCTCTCAGGATCTTGGGCACGTATGCACACGCGTCCGGCGAGAGTTTAAGACAACAGGTCCAGGATTCAAACTGCAGTTGACTACATGGGAGTCCAGTAAAATATCCATTACACCAATTGCTAACCCGAAAACATTTTTTTTTTAATTTGAGACATTTTATAGAATTCCAAGCTGCTAAAAGATCATTCTGTAACTCTAACTCTTGACGTCATTTACAAATTTTTTGGCTTTGGCAGGAAACTTGGTTTGCTTTCAATGGTGATAGGTCAAAGAATTGCCTATCCACACTCAGGAACATGTATTTTACATTTCAGAACCTTAGAGTCTCCAATACAAAGGAAATGAGCTATTTAAATTTAAAAACATAATATATGGGGCCAGCAGGTGACATGGTGATTAAGGCACTGGACTCCCACATGGCTGATCATGGTTTGAGTGCCAAATCCAGTGGCTTGAAAATAACACTGGGCATGTGCACACATGTGCAAAATCTCAAAAGGAGAATGAAGGAAAAGGGATTGTAGTGTGGCCACCACCCTGGTGCGGGGAGGGAAAAGGGGAGTGATTTCTCACCCCCTCCCAGTGAGTGTGCACACCCTATGGCAAAAAACTAAAAAACAAAACAAAAAAAACTATGTATGTATGTATTTGTGTAGGTGTACATGTATATGTACATCAAAATTTAAGGTTTTATTGGGTCTTTGGAAAAGACATGATGCATTTTGGCACAGAAAAATAGAAAAATATGTTGTGACTTTTCCAAAGACCCAACAGATTGAGGAGCCTAGAAATTCAACTCTAAGGCTAGACATGCTTACCTAGAAAACCAAATTAATGAAGCTATATAACTACAACCTCAACAGAAAGCTTTTGTACTTGAAGGACTAAAGTAAAATTACCTTCCAATTCAGATAAAGCCAAAGGGGAAACAGACCTTCACAAGTTATAGCCATGTAGCCAACTGGCTAAAGTCCACTAGGTTAATGTTTCTGAATTACACTCAAGCTCAAAGTGAAAAGTGCAGAATCCCTCCTTGGGCTTGCTTTTAGGGAAGTACTCTGCACTCAGTTATTCCCTCATGTGTAAAAACTATGAGAAAAAAGTAGCATATATCATGAAGAGACAGAAAAATATATGAACTGATCCTATTAAATCCTGTCAACTGGAGCCTGCAGGTGGCGTGGTGGTTAAGGGCACTGGAACCCCACCTGGCCGACTCATCCAATTTAGAAATCTGTATCAACTGGGCCCCGCAGATGGCATGGTGGTTAAGGGCGCTAGACTCCCACGTGGCCAACTGTGGTTCGAGTCCCGGACCTGGCAGCTTCCTTTCTCACTTTCCCTCTCTCTCTCACTCTGTCCCTCTCTGATCAAGTTACAATAAATAAATGAAGTTAAATAAAATTATTTAAAAAAAAAAAAAAAGAAATCAACCCTGTCAACTGGATGGACAATTCAAAATTTAACATATTGCTAACAGCAACGGCACCAGACCAGCAAAATGACTGGTGATTCATGAACACTGATTACAGGCCAAGGTTTGGCTTGGTTCAAAGCAATTATTTCCACACACACTCTGTTGACAATGGTCAAATCTGGGTCACCTACGTGCTAACTAATCTGATTAGGCTGATCAGGCTTAAAATTTGGATTTGTTTGTGGACTAAGCAATGAACTATAATAAATACCACAAATGGAGCACCTTATACTAAATCTTCATAAAGAATCCTTAAAGAATAATTTCTCTAGAGAATCACCTTGGTTACAAAAGAAAACTGCATCATCTTCAAAGCCATGTTGCCTTCTAGTGAATAAACCGTGAAGAAATTAAACCAATGAATCTGAGGCATTGAATCTTCATTTAAAAAGAAATGGTAGAATGTGTGTTGAGACCTCATTTTCAGGTGGGGCAAAACAGGATGAAAATCATAGCCTGAAAACAGAAGAGAGGCTGACTTATCAGTATCACCAACCTGAAAAAGAAACATTAAAAGAGCCAGTTATATATATATATATATTTTTTAACAAAATACCCAAAGCCTATTTTAAAGAATGCCCTCTTGAATTCTCAGGGTACAAAAACCCTATCCTAAGCTTTTTTCTAATCTGTAAACAGAGTTTCAGACTGGCTCTGAGGAACCCAGGTCATAATAATGCTTCCTGTCTATACATAGTGTTCTAACTTGGGGCTGCTGCTCTAAACCCAACAAGTCATCACCCTTGCTTTGCAGGTAGGAACAAAATGGTTAATCCAAAACTCAAAAAGCTTGTGGGCCCTCAAGTGGTATGGTAGTTAAGGGCCAGATCCCATATGGCTGACTGTATGGTTCAAGTACCTGACCCGGCAGCTTAAACAAGCCAGGCATGTATGCATACATGCCCCAAGTCCCAAAAGGAGAATGGAGAAATTGAGGTATGGCCATTCCCCAGGGGGAGGCTTTCTCACTTTTCCTGTCTCTGGTGAGCACACACGCCCAATAGCAAAAATAAATTAAAACAACAACAAAAACTCACAAAGCTAGAGAGACCTACAAAAGAACTCAAATCTGATGTTCCCCCTACATAATTTAAAGTTGCAGGCATACAAGTAAGGCCCAAATACAGGTCTGAGGACAATTTCAAGCACAGGTCACCTGAAGTACTTATTAAAATGTAGGTATTTCCACCTTCTGACTCAGAATTCCTAGGCGTGGATCTTAAAAACATTTTACATCGGTGTCATGGTGGTTAAGGGTGTTGCACTCCCATATGGCCAACCACAGTTTGAATCCCAGACTTGGCAGCTTGCTTTCTCCCTTTCTCTCTCACTCTATCCCTTTCTGGCCAAATTAAAATAAATAAATAAATGAAGTTAAATAAAACAATTCTTTAAAAACAAAACTTTACAAACAATTCTGAAGCCCTTTCAGTTTGAGAATCACCAGCACGAGGAATAAATCCTAAAACTAAATCTATGTATGGCACTTGTGTATGCGCATGAAAATTTAAAGTTCTAGATTGAGCAGCCTAAAAATTTGACTCTAACGTTAGACCTGTTCACCTAGATAACGTAACCCGCTTATTTACCTATCCTTCATGTGGTACAGAGCTTGCCAAGCAAACCAGGTTACCCTAGAGCCTAACCTGAATGAGCCACATCAAAGACTTCCTACTTCTCAGCTCAAAGAGCAAGGTCAATGGGCTCAGGTCAAAGGGACACACAGGATCAACTTCACTGCTTACCACGGTAACTTTTCAGGCGACAGCAACCAACAGTATCTTCACAAATTCCACGCATTCCTGGAGGTATCTTCTTGCAGATTCCTAATATATATGGTATCAAATTCCTTCCAAAGGTGTCTAACAGTTCAGGGAAGGTATCACAGAGGAAGTAATGTAGGTATGACCCTAGTCAAAAATCATTAAGTTGGGTTTACAGAGCATCCGTAATTGTGATACAAAGATCATACAAAACTACCTTTTGCCCTTTTAATCTTATTTTATACTGAAAATGGCAGCAAGTCTCATTTTGAACTCACTTCTAAAGGCATAGATTATAAAAGAGGGGAACAGGTGACAATTTTAGATTTTACAGACTGAGATTGTAACTGCCTCTAAAACAGACTTACAGAGAAAATAAAATGACTCTCCTCAAGGTCATCTGTGAAGCACTGTACTGCTTTATCTCTCAGAAAGACATGGCCTGAAAAAGCTTCACAGCAGTTAAGCCACATAGCTTGGACTTTTTGAAAAGAAAAACCAACCTCTCAGTGATATGAGAATTTTAAAAAGCAGTAGGCTGAGAAATATTTACTATAAATGATGCAAAATGGAAGCAGGCTTAGAAATGAGTACACCTGAAAAAACACCGAACAACTTGAAAAGGTCACTCCTGATTAAGAAAGCAGCACTAGGGGCTGGCAAGTGATGTGGTAGTTAAGGCGCTGGACTCCCACATGGCTGACTGCAGTTCAAGTCCCAGATCTGGCGACTTGCTTTCTCATATTCCTTCTCTCTCTCTCACTCTGGTCAAATTTATAAAAATAATAATTAATAAAATGAAATAATTCTTTTTAAAAAAATTTTTTTAAAGAAAGAAGCACTGGTACCATATCCCTTGAACCGAAAAGCATACACCCAGGGCAAGACAAATCTCAGAAGACATGACACTCTTGAAATACAGAATTTTATTTAGAAACT